AGCGGGAATAGCGGCCGATGCCCCTGACCAGCTCAGGGTTACGGCTGCCATGCTTACGGGCAACCTTCTTCTTATCGCCCTCAGCCATCTAGGCACAATAAATAGTCATTAAAATGTGCACATGTAGAAAAATAGACAATGCTTAGTGCATTGAGAAGCATTATATTAAAGGGACAGCTCACAGAAAAATGCACATTCTGTCATCAATTAATTCTCTACTAGTTCTTAACTTTTTTAAATAGATTTTAAAGGAAGTAAAAATGCCATTTACCTAAAAAAGTATTTTTGTTCTTACAATAAAATGTCAAATTAGAGGTCAAGTTGGCTTTATATTAGCACATTCTGTATTCAATAAAATAGCAAAGCAGAAATTAAAAAGGCTAACGCTGATTAATTATCATTAGGTACAGTTATAAACAACATATTAGTAATATAGAGGTTATAAAGAGTAATATAAAGTTGGTTTTATATTCACACATTCAGACTTTCCCCTTAATAACAATTTCATAAAAGTATTATTTGCAAACTCTAAATAGTGAAATCATATTAGCAGCCAATGACTAAAAAAGTATAACACTGTTCGCAGTCAAAGTGTTAATGTTGTTAAGTCATACTTGCAGGCTAATTCCGATCGAATATTTAAAGTAACATGGTAAACAAAAGACTTCTAAATGAACGAATGCGCAAATATAAAACCAACTTTACCTCTATATTAATATTTAAGTATTTATAAAATAGCTGCCAAACAGAAGGTCTCCATATTGTAAATGCTGGATATTTTATCTGAAATTGCACACAAGTGTGACTTTAAAGCCACATAAGCACCATTTAATTGACTGAACATTGCTGTAATTTGACTGGCTACTAATTTGATTTCCCTAATATAGAATTTGAAAAGAAAACTCATCTGAAAATACATGAAGTCTGAACTTATTAGTATAAATCCAACTTTACTCCAATAGAATTGCTATTTTCTTCCAACATTACTCCACAATTATCTTATTTACCGTACAACAGACGAAATTCATTGCAGTATAGACACATTTGAAGTAATTTGTTAACTTTTGTGTGAACTATCCCTTAAATACCCGAACTGACATGTACAAATTCAGCAATTTGACCAAAGCCATTCATAAATATTCGAGTTGATATTCTAAAATACACTGCTAATATAAAGCATAGTTAAACGGTTGAACACAGAAACTGTTGACAATATAAAACTAATGAAATTCAATACACAATCTGAACCATACATATATTTCTATACTATATATAAACAGTAGCTGCATACAGCACGTTAACTCAACGTGACCCGATGTAGCATTGCTAACATGCTAACGGAACATATAGTTACACACTGAAGACTAACAATCGTCATAATAACGTTTATTTAACATTAAGTTCTCATGATAAGCTGTCGCGTATGATTTAACGGTGTTTAATGTAAATATAAGCCCTGAAAATGCCGTTAGCGTTCATATAAACCCGGTTGTCAGGCCTCCGCGGCGAACACTCATAATGAACGCTAAAACACGCAACACGTCCACTAATATTCACAGATATTAGCGCTATGAATATTTTAAAGCATTTAAATACGATATAGATTGACATACAACGCGATGATGAGTGAGATTAATGCAGATTGTGTGTGGAGAAAACAGACATGGAAGCCACAATTACCTTCAACTAGAAAAAAAGACCGACATCCGGGCATTTGACGTATATATAGTCGTGACGTGTTACGCTCGGGGTTCTTCTTCCGGCATGTTTTGCTCTTAAAGAAACACACGCTTTTATTGCCGCGCATGTTGAGTAATGGCTGCCGCTCATCGGACGAGTTTTGTAAATGTGAAGATAAATAAAGCGATCATTTTATTCCCACAATAATATTAAATAAATAATATTTAATGTAAAAGGTGTAGAGAAATAAAAATGTGTACCAAATTTGTTGAAATTTTGTGTAGTTTGTATTTTCTTTTTCTAATATTTCTCATGAATTTAATGTATTATCTTTCTATTTCTGAAGATGTTCGGTGATTAGAATATCATTTTAACAAATATATCCATTTAACAAATCATTTTTTTTTAATGCACCAAAATATATGACATATTAACTGAAAAATTGATAAAAATACTTATTGTCAAAATGGGGTGCACTCATTTATGCTGACCACTGTGTATGTATATCGACAAGTCACATTCAGGATGCGCGCGCAGCGAGGTTGCAGAAAAAACGGGAGCGCTAGCATTTACAGCAAGGAAATGATGCGGTACAGAGTTTGTTGTTGTATTAGAGATTTTACATTGATTACATATTATTTATATTAATTACATAATTCTTTCAGTGTATTATAACAGCTTGTCACCCAGTTATAAGCACAGTTATTCAGCAAAATTAACGTTAAAGTGAGCGGCGTTCATCTGACAGGTCCATTTGCGATAGCACCCTCCCAATGGATATTGGATAAGACGAAATGGCCGAACATCCAGCCTGAAATATACACCTCATTGAAACTCCCCTCCCAAGTGATATAACAAGAGAGAAGTTAAAGGTCTACAAGTCTTTGGATGCCTACAATTTTGTTCTGTGTAGTCATGTGCAAGAAATAACCCAAGTAGCAAAGAATTCTGGCCCAATTTTGGCACCGCTGGCATTCATCCGGCACTGGCATAAAGCATGTGGGCCAAACATGGCCCTGGTTTTACAGAGGTGGCATCGTCTTTAAGGTGGCACACAATACTTGGGCCAGATGTAAAATGTAGTATCTGGCCCAGATGTCAATAATTTATACGTGGGCCATGTAAGTTTGGCCTATCTTGACCCACATTTAAAATACATTTTTACCCAAGTAGCAAAGAATTCTGGCCCAATTTTGGCACAGCTGGCATTCATCCGGCACTGGTATAAAGCATGTGGGCCAAACATGGCCTGGGTTTGGCAGAGATGGCACCGTCTTTAAGGCGGCAAACAAGATTTAGGCCAGATGTAAAACGTAGTATTTGGCCCAGATTTAAAAAATTGATATGTGGGCCATGTGAGTTTGTCCAGTCTTGACCCACATTTAAAATACATTAAAATAATTTTTGAGTAAAGAAAAAAATAGTACCAATCAGGTCACTTCGAGAAAAAGCATGCCCATAGCACTCATAAAGCACAACGGTTCATGGGTTTTTCCAATTTCATTGCAGTTGTGACACACGAACATATCTGGCCCGGTTCAGGCTCAGTTATGGGTTTTTAACTTGGCTGAGACTTGACTTGAGTATGGCAGGGTATGTGAACACTTTCAGGTATCATTCTAAGCATTCAGTGTCCGCAGTTTAATTCACCATATTTAACTTGACACACACACACTCAGCTGTCAATCTGTCAATGTTTACATGTTTCTGGTATGAATTAGCATGTTTCTAGCATGTTGCTATCATGGTTTTAATATGGATTAGCATGTTACATTATTTTTGCACGAATTAACATTATATTAGCATGTTAATAGCATGAATTAACGTGTTGCTGTCATGGTTCTAGTATGGATTACCATGTTAAAATTATATTTGCATTAATTAGCATGTTACTAACATGGTTCTAATATCAATTAGCATCTTTTAGTGTCAATTAGCATGTTAACATAATTTTTGCATGAATTAACATTTTACTATCATATTTCTAGTATGTATTAGCATGTTCCTATCATGATTTTAGCAGTAATTAACATGTTACTACGATGTTTTTAGTATAAATTATTTGTCATCATGTTTCTAGTATGAATTAGCATGTTGCTATGATGTTTCTAGCATGAATTATCATTTGATATCACGTTTCTGCTATGAATTAGCATGTTAGTATATTTCCCCCATGAATTAGCATGTTATTAACATGTTCCTGGTGTGAATTAGCATGTTAACATAATTTGTGCATGAATTAACATTATACTAGCTTGTTTCTAGCATGAATTAGCATGTTGCTATCATGGTTCAACCATCGATTAGCACGTTAACATTATTTTTGCATTAATTAGCATGTTTCTAGCATGTTTCTAACATGAATTAGCATGTTTTAGTGTCAGTTAACATGTTAACATAATTTTTGCATAGTTTTTGCTGAAATCATAGCTGCAATCAAAAACGAGTGATGTGTATTATTCAGCATAGCGTGAACTTACCTGATATACCATGCATTTTTAATCAGGTCCTCACTCCATTCAGCTCTTATGATGGCTGTTAGCCAAAAAAGTCTGCGGTTGGCATTAAAAGCAGTGTGGTGTACGGTAAAAGCTTTCTATTTTTGGACTCGGATACTTATTTGGACACATATCTACTCTTCTACAAAAAATAAATAATAAAAATAAACTTGAATTAACTTAAAGAGTAGATTGATTTGGAATAAGAACCCTAAATGTTTAAAGAATAGTCACAGCAATATCACTCTGCAGCCCAAGAGCAGTTACTCACTCAAGCTAAGCAGGGCTCAGCTTGGTCAGTACCTGGGATGGGAGACAATGAATAACTAGGTTGCTGTCGGAAGTGGTATTAGTGAGGCCAGCAGGAGGCGCTCAACCTGAGATCTGTGTGAGTCCTAATGCCCCAGTATAGTAAAGGGGACCCTTCGGTCAGTGAGCACTGTCTTTCAGAATCTCTGTGGTCATTAAACATCCATGGCACTTCTTGTAAAGAGTAAGGGTGTAACCCTGGTGTCCTGGCCAAATTCCCTCCATCATGGCCTCCCAATCATCCCCATCCACTGAATTGGCTCTATCACTGTCTCTCCACTCCACCTATAGCTGATTTGTGGGGAGCGCACTGGCGCTGTTGAGTTGTGGCTGCCGTCGCATCATCCAAGTGGATGCTGCACACTGGTGGTGGTGTGGAGAGACCCCCCTCTCATGATTGTGAAGCGCTTTGGGTGTATGGTGCTATATAAATACACATTACATAGTAGTTCCAGTATGTATAAATCTACTAATATATAAATAAATCTGCAAAGCAAAAGAGAATAAAAGGTCTTTTCAAAGCATAGCAGCATACAGCTGATTCTTTATTGTCAACAACAGTCAAATGAGTGAATTCAACATTATTTTAGTCAACATTTTATACAAAAACATCAACACGGCACAATCAGAAGCTTCAGTGACATTATTATTCTGCAGATGTTGACCCAGCACAATATGTCTGATTATATTGGCACAGATGTAAAACTACAGTAAGGCACTGTAACTCTAACCAAACATCCTAAACCTGCTCAGAAATCACTGCTTTAAGTGGGTAAAGTCAATTGAATGACTCATTATAACAATAAGGTTACATTAGTCCATGTATTTATGATCATTAACTAATAATGCACAATACTGTGCAGCATTTACTAATCATAGTTCAACATGATGCATTATTAATCCAAAGTTGTGGTTGATAATATTAGTTATGCACTCTGAGTTAACTGTGAGTGACTAAACACTGTAATAAATGTATTGTCCATTATTTGTTCATGTTAGTAAATACATTAACTAATAGAACCCTATTGTAAAGTGTTCCCGGATAAGCAAAACTGCATGTGGGTGGATGGACAGCTTGACATGTTTAGGGACGGTTTTGATGTTCGACTTGATTTGTTTGCAATAACCTGTCTTTGTTGTGCTTATTTAATGTTTTCCAGGATGACAGCGATTCCTTGACCTCCACCGATGCAGGCGGAGCCGACCGCATATTTTCCACCGCGTCTCCTGTGAACAGATTTAAACACGTCACATGACACCAGTGTATTGACACCAGATTATGCATCCTATAAATACATCAACACAATTCTGGATTCAAGACTCATCATAGATCTGTATTATTGAGGAAAACACAGCAATCAGGTTAATTTATTGATAAGGAAATTGCAGGATTTTAGGAAACAAATGAAATACTCAACTGAATAACTGCAATGACTATAATAAAATAATATAAAACATAAATGATTTCTGCAAACCATTTTAATACACACAAAGCAACACATTTCCAATGTAAAACATAAGCAATCAATTAGAATGTATCTGTATCAGTTTGCAATAAGATAAGGCTGTGATTTATCTATCTGGAACTGATTTAAAAGTGACTGATACACACACATATATTATATATTTATATACACACACACACACACACACACACATCTATATATATATATATATATATATATATATATATATATATATATATATATATATATATATATATGAAAATATGATTGGCAGAATCGTAAAAATGCTGGATTAAGATCGTCTAGGGGGTCGAATCGAGATCGCCATCTTTTAATGATTATTTGTGCAGCTCTACTATCTATCTATCTATCTATCTATCTATCTATCTATCTATCTATCTATCTATCTATCTATCTATCTATCTATCTATCTATCTATCTATCTATCTATCTATCTATCTAACTATCTATCTATCTATCTATCCATCCATCTATCTATTTTAGACCTAAAATATATTTGTTTAAGATGTGTTTACCTGAGCTCATGGACGAGGTGTGCAGTGATTCTGGTCCCCGAGGCCCCGAGCGGATGCCCGATAGCGATGGCTCCTCCATTAACATTGGTTTTCTCGGGATCCAAACCTAAAGATTTGGCCACTGAGAGATACTGAGGAGCAAACGCTTCATTCACCTGACAAACAAACACAAAAAAACACTGATTAACCATCCTGGAAATAAAGACACACAAATGAAGAAAAACTAATTACATAACTTGATGACTTTAAAGTTCAAAGTGGGTTTTCACCCATATTATCATTTTTTTTATATTTTACTATCATTCATTCATTTTCCTTCAGCTTAATCTCTACTACAGTGGTTGCCACAGTGGAATGAACCGCCAACTATTCCAGCAAATGTTTTATTGCGCAACATGTGCCCTTCCAACTACAACCTAGTTCTGGGAAACACCCATACACACTCATTCAAACACACCCATGCACTATAGTGCATGTGTTTGGACTGTGGGGGAAACCAGAGCACCCGGTGGAAACCCATGCCAACACGGAGAGAACATGCAAACTCCACACAGAAACGCCAACTGGCCCAGCCGGGACTCAAACCAGCAACCTTCTTGATGTGAGGTGACAGTGCTAACCACTGAGCCACCAATCAGTTTCTTATAGTCCACTACACTGTAAAAAGCAATTAGTTACTGATTATAATGAGGAGGTACCTCCACCAGGTCCATGTCTTTGATTGAGAGTCCAGCCTTCTTCAGAGCTTCTGTGATAGCAGGTACAGGCCCTACAGGTTGTATTTAAAACATATTCAGTCAGAAATCAGTTTATACATTTATCCTTAAAGACTTTTCTATGGTGGACGAGACAGCTTGATGCACTGCAGCTTCAGAAAACACATGCAAATAGAAAACTCACTACAAATCCTCACAACACATGCATATTTTCATCTAAAGAAAAAGCAGACTGAAGTTAGCATGGTTGTATTTGTATCATGTTATCATTTACATTATCATCAGCCTACTACACAGGCCTGAATATATATATATTTTAAACATTATTCTTATCGACAAACTTATTTCAACCTCATTTTAACATTTAATAAAGCCTTGCCATTTTTTTGTCATTATCCTTGAAATTATATTTAGTTGAGAATATTAAGAGGATCTATCCATCTTGTATAATAACGTCACACAATTAATCGTCAGTGTCGCAAATCTTCAAAACACAAACAAATAGAAAAACACACCGCAAATCCTCACAACACGTGCAAAAGTTGACTGAAGTTAGCAAGTTGTATTTGTATTATGATATCACTTATATCATCACAGGCCTACTAAAAAGGCCTGAGTATTTATCTAAATATTATTCTTATCTGAAATTTATTTCGACACTAAATAAATTGTCTTTATATTTTAAAATATATTAAGTAGAGCTGTGAACCTACACTAGTCTCACGGTTCAGTTACGATTATCATGCCATCGATTCGATATTTCGGTGCATCACGGTGCATTGACGGTGCTTTCCATACACAGTTTTATATTTTCTTCACAGCAGCAGTTCTTGTATTAAAATGTATGAATATATTTATATTGATATACTATTTGTAATACAATTTAGTCGTTTAATACAAACAGTTAGATATATAAACTGTAACTTTAAACAAAACGAGCATTAAGCAAATAATATAAACAAATATAAACATCCAGCTCAATTTCTGATCTTTGTCTAGTTCTCTTACACCTCTTTGATTGGTCACACCCTCAACAAAAACGGTTGCGATTGGCTCTTGCGCGCTGCGTTCTTCAGATAAGTGACACTGATAAGCGGCAGCGGCGATCTCACAGCTGATGCATGATAGACACGGTGGAGAAAACTCTGCAGACACGCGCTCGTTTCTGTATCCAAACGTAATGCTGTAAAACAGCCGAGAGGAGAAGAAAAGCCACCCCAGCAGGTCAAATGGGCCACTGTGTGTGTGCGTGTGTGTGTGAGAAAGAGAGAGAGAGAGACAGAGACAGAGCGAGAGCGAAAGCGAGAGCGAGAGAGAGAGAGAAAGAGAGAAATGGAGTAGGCTACTTTCATTCTCTCGATCTCAGTGAAATAGGGGCTATTGTTGTACATGTCAGTGAAAGACTGATCCAGCAAACACACACAGTGAAATTGTGCACAGTTTATGAGTTTTAAGTAGTTAAAGCGTTGTAAATACTCGCAATCGCCTCCCTCGCGACAGAGCGCATATGAGGTAAATGACGTCAGTAATAACCGGTTATGATTATTACTGAACCGATACCGAATTGTCCGCGTCTGCATCGCGATGCACCGAAGAAACGATTAATTTTGACACCCCTAATATTTAGTTGAGAATATTAGGATAATTTAGCTATATTGTATAATACCGTTTTACAATTAATCGTCAGTTTATTCAGGCTAATAATATGCAAACGAGATAGAAATCACGTAATCAAGGTGCTAAATAAACAAAAAAGATCATCAGCAACTTCACTGAGCAATAATCACTGCACAACAAGCAATTCTCAGCCGGCTCCGTCACTATTTTCACTTCATCCGCTTGAAAAACTCATGTTTTAGTCTGTGTTATTTACATGTGATTTGCAGTGAGTTTTCCATGTGTGTTTGAGAATTTGCCACATGTGTGCTGCCAAACCGATGCATGCGTTTTCTTAATTTCTGATGTTTTTTCTATTTGCATGTGTTTTGTTAAGTTGCAGTGCGTTACGCTCTCTCGGCCAGCGTACTTTTCTCATTAAGTGCGACAGAAGGGTTGTTTAACACTCACCGATTCCCATGATGCTGGGATCACAACCTGAGGTGTGATAGGACACGATTCTAGCCAATGGGGTGAGTTTGTGAGCCTTCACTGCATCCTCACTGGCTATAATCACGGCAGCGGCTCCATCAGACACGCCCTGTGGGAGGAGCCAAAAACATTTTTAAAATATGCACAAAAAAAATCTAAAATCCAAAGTCATTTAATTTTTAAAACACCCACACACACATTTTGTAGAATATAAACATTCTTGCAACTCCTCAACTGAATGTAAACTAATAATTTTTATTTTCCCAAAGATCATTTGCAACCCTTTTTGTATAAATTAACAAAACAAATTGTTTGTATAAAATATTGTTTTCAGTTTTAGACAACATTAAATTAATGTTTTAATAACCCTGATTTTAAGTCATAACAACTGGAAGTATAGACTATTCTGACCCATTGTTTTTTCAAAATTTGGAAGAAATTATATCAGACTTTTATAGTATTTATAATATTTTACTTAAACCCAAAACCAATAAATATAACTCAGTAAATTAATAAATTAAATGACAAACAAAAAGAAAAAAATAAATAGTATTAAAACAAATAATAAAATAAAAACACACAATAAAAAAAAACATTTTAAAAAAATTATTAAAGTAAAATAATTAAATAATTTTAAATAATTTAAATAAAAAATAAAAATAAACAATAAAAAAGATTAAATTACATTAAAATAAAGTAAAAAAGGATAAAAAAATAAAAATAATAAAATAAATAATTTTAATGAATTAAATGACAAACAAAGAGCAAAAATTAAAGAATACAAAAAATGAAAACAAATAATAAAATAAAAACACACATTAAAAAAAAGTAAAATATATAAATGTATAATAATAAAATAATTATAAACAATTAAAAATATAATAATAACAAAAATAAATAAGATTGAATTACATTCAAATAAAGTAAAACAAAAGGATAAAAAATAAATAAATAAAATAAAAATAATAAAATAAATGGATGAAATGAAATAAAATTAAATAAAGGAACAAATGGTTGATGATAAAAGATGAAAAAATCTTATAATTAATTAAAAACAAAATAAACAAATAAAAATAAATAAATACAATAAAATAAATGTAATTTAAAAGTGCAGCCATTTTAGAGCTGTTTTACTGACCGAAGCATTGGCAGCAGTGACGGTTCCCCCTTTCTTGAAGACAGTGGGCAGTTTTGCCATCTGCTCCAGGGTGGTCTGTGGACGAGGGTGTTCATCAAACGTCATGGACACTTTCCCCTTCTTGGCTTTGACTTCAATGGGTGCGATCTCAGCGTTGAAATATCCAGCCTCGTGAGCTGCAGCAGAGACAGAAGTGTGAGTATGAGTGTATGTGAACAGATAACATCCACAAAACATTTTCTCTCACCACAAAGAGTTCTCCATTTACTTTTTCAACATTTAATTTATTTTAAAGGTTCCACGAAGTGCTTTGAAATGTGGACTTTTTGTTTATGTCTGACGTAATCTAAACTGAAACATGAAGAGAGGGTGCGACTGAGTAGCTCCTCCCTTTTTTAATAAACAGCCAATAGCATTTGGTTTTCTCACAGCTCTGCCAGTGAGAGTGGTTAAGCTCAAGCGAATTAAATGAAAAGCAAATGAAAAAGGGGCGGGGCATGTCAGACAAAAGAGAGCATTTGATTGGTCAGAAAATTGGATGAGAAACTATAGCATGAGGTGATGTAAAAAAAACAAAAACAATGATGCATATAGGCGGAAGTGACAAGCTTTGGATTTTATATCAGTTTTATATTTACTTAATGTAAATTGTCACTATTTTGGATCACACTAGATTATAGATATCCTTAACAGACTGAAACTAACATCTAAAAAACTTTATTGTAATTTCACTGGGACTTTAACATTGGGCAGGTAGTTAATAGCATGAGTTATGACCTAAACGGAAGTGCTAGTTATATTAATGCAGAATTATCCAGGATATGTGGTGTATATCTTGCGCTGACCTGCTTTCCAGCGCTGCTGCGTCTGATGCGAGTACTGGTCACACTCCTCACGGCTGATCTGGTATTTCTCTGCCAGGTTTTCTGCTGTGATGCCCATGGGCAGCTTTATGTTCAGATCCGTCAGTCCGGCCCACAGCGTGTCTTCCAGCTGATTCACACACACACAACAATTGATATTGAGTATGGGATGATAAACAGGGTGCGAATTATACATTGACGATCAGGGGGGTCAACTTTTTCTGTAATATTCTTGTGTGCAATACATGCTTCAGTGAATTAAACTAAATGACATTTTATCAATGAATATTTAATTTCTCAGCGTTTTGTCGGATAGTTTGTGTATTCTGACGTATACAATATCCTGTGATTAGCCATTTTTAGAGGTTACTGTAGGTCAATCTATACAAACAATGCATCTAATTTTACTTTACTTTTAGGCTCTATGTAACACTTATTTTACAAGAAAAGTGTTTTGTAAACACTTGCCATGTCAATCGGCTTAGATTAATTGACGCAATTATGCATTCACAATGGTATAATCCATTATAGGGGTGGTCAATTGTATAGTTTTATTATCTATTATTTAATTGGTAATATTAGTATTTAAGATGCAGATTAGAGCAAACTATTTCATACTATTTAGAGCAGGGATTCTCAACCAGTGGGCCTTGGCCCTCTAGTGGGCCTCAGCTTTCCTGCAGGTGGGCCGCGAGATAGCTTAAAATTAACTTAATTATTGTACTAATATATATATATATATATATATATATATATATATATATATATATATATATAAATAAAAAAATCTGTATCTATCTATTTATCTCTATATATATATATATATATATATATATATATATATATATATATATATATATATATATATATATATATATATATATATATATATATATATATATATATATTTACATTTTACATTTAGTCATTTAGCAGACGCTTTTATCCAAATGATACAAATGAGGACAAGGAAGCAATTTACACAACCAAGAGCAACAATGAATAAGTGCTATAGACAAGTTTCAGGTCTGTAAAGTCTAAGAAGGGAAGTATTAGTAGTATTAGTATTTTATTTTTATTTTTTTTATAAATATTATATATATATATATAATATTTATAAAATGTATGATATATAATATTTATAAATATGATAATAATATTTATAATAATATTTATAAATATGATATGTATTATATAATGATATAATAATGAAATATTATATAATAATATTTATAAATATGATATATATATATATATATATATATATAATATTATATTTATAAATATTATAATATTATATATTTTTTTATAAATATATAATATTATATAAATATTATAATATTATATATATTTTTAATATTATAAAATTATATATATTTTTTATAAATATTTTATATATATATATATATATATATATATATATATATATATATATATATATATATATATATATATATATATATATATATATATATATATATATAGATAGATAGATATAGATAAATAGATAGATACAGATTTTTTTATACCATATGTATATATCTATCGCATGCAAAATAAGGTTATTTCGACACATATATAATACACAGACATATATTGTATTTATTATGTTAAATAAAACAATTGTGTTACATAGATATTATAATTTGTATCATATACACATATATTTCATATCTAAAAATAAATAAAGGTGGGTGACACTGTGGCTCAGTGGTTAGCACTGTCGTTTCAATGCAAGAAGGTCGCTGGTTTGAGTGCCGGCTGGGTCAGTTGGTGTTTCTGTATGGAGTTTGCATGTTCTCCCCGTGTTGACGTGAGATCCCTCCGGGTGTTCCGGTTTCCCCCACAGTCTAAACACATGCGCTATAGAGGAATTGATTAACTAAACTGGCTTAGTGTATGAGTGTGTGTGTGTGTATGGGGGTTTCCCAGCACTGGGTTGGGGCTGGATGAATGAATAAATAAAATTTTCTCAAATATATGCATACAAGTGTGTATTTATAAACACATGATAACTATACACATATATTATGTCAAAATAAACTTCTATTTTGGATGCTACTGAACAACATCATACGACCCTCAGAATTAGATTGAGAGACTCAATTAGACTTACTTTCAAATCGACTCCAAATTTAGTGCCAAAGCGGATGTTTCTGACAGCGTAAGGAGCTTGGCTCATGCTCTCTGATCCTCCACACAGCACCACCTCAGACTCTTTCAGGCAGATCTCCTGCAGCACAACACACACAACACACACACACACACACACCAGAAACTCATATCAATAATCTGGTTAAAATGATCATTTATCCCACAAGCAATTACATCTCTAAATTCCTCTTCTCCTTCTGAATATTTCACAAGTAGCATAAGCATTTATAAGTAATGCCGAGTTCAGACTGCGTGGTTTTCAAAGTAGTCGTGTCACAGATGTTTTCACACTGCTTGACTATCTGGGCTGGCGTTTTGTCGCTGCTTTGTTTACACTGCAAGATGAATCGGCAGCAGGGACTTTCACATTGCATGACTTTACAACAGGAAGAATCGCCGACTACTTCGTCCAAACTACGTCTCACAGCCAAAAAAACGTCGTATAACTTTTGTTATTAACTACATAATGAGAAAGAAGCCTTTAATGGGGTAGAAAATGTACTTATTTGCTCACCTGGGTTTAAAGGGCATTAGCAATCTCTCCCTAACTTTCTTTTTTAACTTTCTGTATGACACGTCAAACACACACGGGTGCTTTTGTCAATCCTCCACTAGTTTTTCCTCCATTTCTTGGATCCAAATAAACTTAATATGAACGCTTTTAACCTCTCCCCCATTCTCCCGCTGGCCAGCAGGTACACACACACACACACACACAAGTGAACGCTGCTCTCTCATTGGCTGTACACAATGTTATTTTCAGTCAAAACTCAATTCACACGGCATGATTTGAATCGCCGACAGCTCCAGATATTCAGCACGCCAAATATCTCGCAGGCATCGGCGACTCATCAGCGATTCTCTCAGATCGTGTCTTTGACAGTTCATACTGTGTGATTGTCACTCACATGCACGAGCACCGATTTGCCTGTGATTTCAGGCATTTGTTGGCGATTTCTCAAAACCTGTGGGCGAGTCAAAAATCATGCAGTCTGAACTCGGCATAAGGGAACAATAACTAAGCGAACGTTGTTTTTTGAGTCTTTTGATAACTTAAAATTCATTGTATAATAAAAGTTTACACTGACCTTTATGAAACATCATAAACAAAGTTTTATTGGGAATAAGCAGTGTTTGTTCTTTAAAAATTGCTCCTTATAATCTGGAATTTCAACATTACATTCAGAGCTTGCTCATGCTGTATATAACTTTTTCATTAAAGAAATCTTTCACTGGGCAGGGCACGGTGGCTCAGTGGTTAACACTGTGGCCTCACAGCGAGAAGGTCTCTGGTAGAAGTCTCCGCGGGACCAGACCAGATTTCTTGCGGTGTGTTAGTGGGCGGTTCAATCCGCTGTGGCGACCCCTAATAAATAAGAGACTTAAACTAAAGAATACTTATAAATGAATGAAAATCATTCACTGTCATACGGAGATCTAACAATATCGCTCCCGACTCCCGAGTGAGCGAGCACACACTTGTATGTGTGTGAATGAGAGAGCATGATGCTGTGTTTAGCTTGTTTGTTGCTGTCTACTAGGCTTGGGTGGTATCCAAATTTTGATACCGTCAAACCTCCTCCTCCGGTATCCGGTATTACCGGCGTAATTAAAAAAAATATGACGTAAGGCTCAGACAGCGTCACCAAACTGTTAGCTTGTGCCTAAATCATTCAGAAACTGAATACCTTGTATGCGACCAGGTTTGAATTAAATTAAAATAAACTCTAAATGATGACGGGTATTTTGGCAATGATGAAATTAAGATAAAGGCTGTGCGAGATTTGTTTCAACACTTCTCTTCACAATCTGGCATTAAGGCGACTGTGAAGCTGAATATTAAAATAATAATGCCACCATTAGCCTGTATACTCTGTCTACATTATGATTATATGGTTTCATTAATATTTATTTATAATTTAAAAACCCTTTACTCACCAAGATTAGGCTACGTGTGTTTGTGGAGGAACATTATTAAATACACTGGCTTTAGCGCAGTCCTGCGTTCATGCTGCGTCCAGCAGAACTGAACACCCTTTCCTGCGGCTACAGGCCGAGATGCAGAGTTCTGATCTGGCTGATTTTGCAAGTTTTGGGTAGGATTGTTTGTTCATCTTCTACCAGGCAGGAGCAACCATTTAATTTTCCATGACAGCAGTTTCAGTGTAGCGAATGGCCTCGTCTTTTTACCTGTCAGCTTGCGGTTTTGCGCTCTACCGTAATACGTGTATGAGCGACAGCCGAAATACCTTGACGGCTTGAATGACTGTTCCTTCTGAGCTAGTGACTGACTTGACCGCCGTCAAAATTTGCGTTTTTTTACTTCTCCGTCATCATTTCTTTTACATTTGCAGGGATGGATTTTAATGCAGGGATTTGGATTTCTCGGGTCTCGCCGGGTTCGGGGAAAGATCGTCAGTTCTAATGCAGACCTCTAGTCTAGTTCATTCATATTTACCACGTCTCCCTTATCTTTCAGTCGATACCGAAAATACTGCCAAACTGCAGGTCACTCATTTTGGAGCGCGACTCAACACCTCACCTCTCCCTCTCCCCCTCTCTCTCTCTCTTTCTCTCCACCACACTGTCCCGTGATGACAACCACACATACGTTTTTGTAGGCATTAAATAAAGGATATTTAATATTTTATGACGGTATAACGGTATTGAAACTGACACCGTTGCTATTTTTAGATCCTGCGGTATACCATAATACCGTAATACCGCCCAAGCCTACTGTCTACGTGTGAGTGTATGTGTGTGCGAATGAGAGAGAGAGCTTTGTGCTGTCTATGTATGTGTGTGTGTATGTGACAGCGTGTTATAGGCTGTCTGGACTCTGTATAGCTGGGTGGTTTTCGGTTTTGTTCTCCCCCCGCTCATTAGCGGGACCAGGCCCGGTGTGTAGAAAACGGGGCTGTCGGGCAGTGGGACAACAATAGTTGAATATAAGCAGGAGCGGTCGGGTTCGGACTAAAACCTGGCGGGAGCGGGATTCAAAATTTAGTCTCGCGCAGGTCTCAAGTCTCTGGTTCGAGTCCTGGCCAGACCAGTTGGCCTTTCTATGTGTATTTTGCATGTTCTCCCTGTGTGGGTTTCCTCTGGGTGCTCCGGTGTCCGCCATAGTCCAAACACATGTGCTATAGTTGAATTGGGCAACAATATTGGCCGTAGTAAATGAGTTTATGTGTGAATAAGTGTGTATGGGTGTTTCCCAGCACAGGGTTATGGATGGAAGGGCATCCGCTGTGTAAATATAAAAACATATGTTGGCGGTTCAATCCGCTGTGGCGACCCCTAATAAACAAGAGACTTAGCCTAAAGAAAACTTATAAATGAATGAAAATCTTTCACTGTCATACGGAGATTTTAATCATAAACAAAAGCATCGAAACTGTAAGTCTGGTTAAAATGTAAAGTTTGCACAGCTGAAGAAACTGGAAGACATTTATTTAATGAATCGTGACTCCCAGAATTAGATTGTGAAGTCCTTAAAGATTCCCACCCCTTAATAAACGGCATTATACTTTATTAGAGACTTGAGACCTGCGCTGGACTAAATTTTGAATCCCGCTCCCGCCAGGATTTAGTCCAAACCCGACCGCTCCAGCTTATATTCAGCATTTGTTGTCCCACTGCCCAACAGCCCCGTTTTCTACACGCCGGGCCTGTTCCCGCTACTGAACCGATACCGAATTGTCCGCATCTGCATCGCGGTGCACCAAAGAAACAATTAATTTTGACACCCCTAGTTGTACCTGTGCTCCATTGATTATGGACTGGAATCCGGACCCGCAGAGGCGGTTTACAGTCAGCGCTGGCACTGGGATGGGCACACCACACCGCAGACCCACATGACGGGCGATGTAGGGGGCGTCTGCTGAACTCTGGATAACAATAAGAGAACATATGTGCAGTATTAGGATTTGGGCTGGAGCTCTTTTTTTCACCAACCTACTGGATGACTGAAGCATCAAACATAATAATGAACGATAATAAAAAAAGCATGAGTGCTACTCTTCTGCAAGGTGATAACCTCAAAGCTAAAAAAAAAACATTAATCAAAACTCTCTTAATATTCAAACTAATAAAGAAACTCTAACAAGTCTCTCTCTCAAATATAAACACCAAAGACACTTATAAGCTAGTTATCCTTGACATTTACTTTTACAGTTTAAAAATTACGACAGTAAATCTTTTAGATTTTACCACTTGAACAAGTATTTTTTTCAGTGCAATACAAACAGGAATAAAACTATAACGTTTAGTGTATTTATTTAGAATATTAATCAGAATAAACTGTAAAGTTCAGCTAATATAATCAGAATATCAATCACAATAAATCTGTTTTCAAACTTTCAACTCGCTCTTTAAGATCTCAAAACTCAGGGCAAAGTCGAGTAAAGGAGGTCGAGCCTTCTCATTTATGGCTCCTAAACTCTGGAATAGCCTTCCTGATAATGTCCCAGGCTCAGACACACTCTCCCAGTTCATCTTTTTAGTATAGCATTCACTCAATGCATCACATGATGCATGAATGTGCTCCACGCAGGTGAGCTGGCTTGACAACCACCTGTAGGACACACTTTTCCTGTCTTAATGCACCAGACATTTTGTTAGAAACACTCATATGCTTTACATGTTTGTTTGTATAACTGCTATTTACATTTATAGCACTTCTCATGTTTAAATACACTATAAATAGCAGCTACGCTAATTACATTATGATTTCTCTATTTCCACCTGAGAATACTCATCCTGAGGCCTCTAGAGATTATGCAGCGCCACTGATGTGATTCAAGACCTGTAAAGAAATGACACCAAGGTATCCATAATCCTGGACCAGGCCGTATCCTGAGCTGATGCTGTGGCAGTCATGAAGGAGTGTGAGACTGGTTCCTGAAAGACCACAGTAAGAGACAAGTCTTCGTATTGATCCTGTGGGCCAGCCTGATCACCCGCTGGTGACCTACTCACACCTGCAGCTTCTCCATGATGGATGTCCAGCATTCTCCAGCCTCCAGCGCTTAGACTGCAGCTCTGCACACGAAGTTTGGCCAGAGGAGAAATGGTCGTGCACAATTAAGCCTGGGTTCTGTCGAGGTTTTTTTTCCGTCACTTTGGTCAACAGGCGAAGTTTGTTCCTCCACTGTCGCCACTGGCTTGCCTGAGTTTGGACTTGTAGAGCTGCGCATCGATGGATTTGCTCTTCAGTGTTTGGACTCTCAGTATTGAATATTAAACCACACTGAACTGAACTTCAACTCTGAAAACTGGACTCACACAGTTTCAATTTACTAGAACTTCTATGTTAAGGTGCTTTGACACGATCTACATTGTAAAAGTGCTTTAGAAATAAACATGAATTGAACTCAGTGTATTTAATCAGAATACTGATTGGAATAAAACTATAAACCGGAACTAAAAATACACTGCGCTGCTGATAGGGTGAAGTGACGTCATAGTGAAACGGGTCTATAATGCTCATTAGCCAATCAGAATCAAGCATTCAAAGTTAAAGTCAAAATTTAAAGATATGAATTGAACTTCTAGTCTGAGGGTGCTTTCACACCTGCCTTATTTAGTTTGATTGAATCGCACTAGAGTTCGTTTTCCTTTTTGGTGCGGTTGGTTTGGGCAGGTGAGAATGCAGCAATCGTACTCGAGTACGCACCAAAAGCGGACCAAATAAGCGTACCGAGACCTGCTTAAAGAGGTGATCTTGGTACGCTTTCAAACGAACCCTGGAGCGGTTCATTTGTGGTGAGAATATGATCCGTACTAAAACAGGTCCAACAGCAAAAAGTACTGCGCCTTTTGGACTAATCCAGCTGCCGTAGGCCGATGCGCCAACAGAGAGAGAGAGAGAGAGGGCAAAACATTACCTGATGGATCGTTGTTAATATTTCCGCAAGATGAGCATGTCGCAGTTTCGCTAAATTAATTCACGCCTCATGAAGTGACGAGTGATGCATTAAAACATTGTTTTCCAACCAGTGGCGTAGCGCAAAATGCGGAGGCACCCCAGCAGGGAAGGCTGACGTCATACGTCAATTTGCATATCACTGACGTCATCACGTTCTACCATTTGTGTTTAACAGCCTATGGTTAATAAAGGGGTATTTATAATTGCACTACACTTTATATAAGCATGTTTATTTAACTAAATTTATTGCTGTTTAAATACAGTATATCATTATAGATGTGTAACGTTAGTGAATGTGCAGTAATCTCTCATATGTAATAAATTCAGACAAGTTCAGAAACTGTCACTAAAATATCTGTGATTGTGAACAAGAAAAGAATAAACGGTCCAATTAAATTGTTAAAATAAAGGAGAAGCAGATCGGTTTGACTGTATAAGGGAAATACCTTCACACTGCCTGTGCTAAATCATTTGTCGTCGGTACGCAGAGGCGTGATCTGCATTCGGGCTGCAGGTGGGAGAGGCTGCTGTACGAGAACTGACTGGGCCGCCTGTCAGTGCTGTGAGGCGGGGGAGGGGCCGGCGGCATCACACGCAGCTCGTTGAGAAGAGTAGGGACGGTACAGTATGGACAAATGACAGTCTAAAAAAAAATCTCCAATAACACACAAAAAAGTCGCTAGATTTGTCGCTAGGGGGTCTGAAAAGTCACTAAATCTAGTGACAAAAAGTTGGCAACATTGGCGGCAAGCAATCAGAATGAAGTAGTCCACCGCTTGAGAGGTGTTCAGAGAACACAGACCTGTGAACTTTGGTTCCGACCACAGTTGTTCCCGAGAGTTTGATTATTACGGTTGCCGGATTTTCAATTATTGAAAATCGCGACGACGTGGAGCCCCCTAATCCTGCGGGCCTGTCCGCTACGCCACTGTTTCCAACCGCGGCCGCGCTTCATTTTCGTAATGTATAGTTTGTCTAAAGCAGGCATACAATCAGTCAGCGCAGTCGTCCCTCCAGAGTAAAAGCAACATTTTGTGTCTGCCGGTTTTGTTTACCTGTGGGAGTTCATTGGCATTTTCCCGCACATGAATTCTGACCAATCAATAAGCAGTTTAGGAAATATGTTCAGCAACATCTGGCCAATGAGAGATGTGGATTTTGTCAGATGACTGCATTTGGGTTCGTTTCAACTGGTTCGGACCAAAGCCAGCAGTGTGGTGTGAAAACGACCCAAAGACGGCAGAAGATGCAACAATGTATCATTGGTCCAGACCAAATGAAGCGAACTACAGATGTGAAAGCACCCTGAAAGAGAACATGCCAAAACAGCAAAGTAGTCTGGCTTCTCAAAACTGACAATGATTCTGCATGCACTGTAGTGTCATGTTTTATAATTAAAGCACATCACAATCTCTCACCTGCATGACATTTCCGATAATGACACTGTTGACTAGTTCTGGAGCCACATTCCCCGCAGCGAGAGCTGCTTTTGCAGCGTGTTCAGCCAGATCTGTAGCACTGTGGTCCTTCAGAACGCCTCCATACGTGCCGAACGGCGTCCTCTTCGCCGAGACTATAAACACACCTAAAGAAAACACATACAGTTGTGATGTAACATCATGATAACGAACATCCATGATGTTATGATCACAGGCATTTCAAAATTTGTTGGCATTTCTGTGTGGAGTTTGCATGCTCTCCCCATGTTGGTGTGGTTTTCCTCCAGGTGCTCCGGTTCCCCACAGTCCAAACACATGCGCTATAGGGGAATTGGATAAATTAAATTGGCCGTTGTGTATGAGTGTGAGGGAATTAATGTGCATTGATGCTTCCCAGTACTGGGTTGCAGCCGGAAGGCAATTAATAAACTGTTTAATTTAACCCTTGTGTGTTTTCGGTGATGTTTTCATCCACTCTGGGGTGATTTTTAGGCTTAATTTGGTCACAACATTCTCTGTTTCAGCAGAAATAATGATTTTTGGTGTCAAATCTTGTTTTGACATATATTTTGAGAAAATGTTTTGAAACAATTCACTCTGGCCAAATTTACTACACTTTCATTATGTTGGTGGCTGTTTTTGACCCTTTGAATTCCTTAATAATCACATTTAATAATTGCAAAGGCATGACAGCATATAAACATGCAATCATGACTGTTGCTGGTTTTTCCTGTTGTGTAGACATAAAAAGTAAAATTTTTAATGTTAATATTAATTCATTTCAATAGACACCTAATGAAAACCACTACAAAAGCATTTATTAATCTTAGAAGATGTTATTTTCTTAGCTCATGCCAAAGAACTTCTTCAAATTAATGGTTGTAATTGTTTTATTAAATTGAGAGTTAATAACTAATAAATTCAATTGTATTTTCAAATTAATAATTTTAATATATATTTTTTAACTACCATAGTAGTTTGTGTTAATAAATGTTTATTTCTCACTGAGTTCTACACATTGACTGACATTTAATAATAAAATCTTGCTATAAAGTGTTACCTATTGTACTTTATAATCCTTTAGTTACATTTATATATATAATAAAGCAATTCTGCACACACAATGTTATTGTTACTTACTTATTATAACTGTTAAAGTATTCTTTTTGCAGTTTATAGTCAATATCATCATGAAAGCTTAAGAAATGAATGAATAACTTTTACACCGACATAAACCCTGATCTTTACTTAACCAACATCAGGTACATTTAAATCCAGACTGAAAACACATGTTTAGCTCTGCCTTTACTGAATTGAGCACTGTGCTATGACCGACAGATCGCACTATTATATATTATAAAACTGGTTTTAACATATTTTAATCTGTTTTTAATACCTTTTATTATTTGTTTTTTTTTCTTATACTTTTATTCCAGTTTATGTAAAGCACTTTGATTTTCCACCGTGTATGAAATGTGCTATAGAAATAAACATGCCTTGCCTAATCTGATTTGATTCCTGTTGTTTACAGAAAATCAAGACTGTTATAAAAAGTACAGAAATGTAAGCATTATAAATAAGTTAGATATAGATAGATATGGCTGATTCCAGCGTTATGGACGTGACATTTGCAGCAAAAATTCAAAAGACAGACAGAGCGTGCTTAGCTTTTGCACTATTTTTGCACGCAAATGTGTCAGGATACAGGCTAATCTCCACTGCTGTGTGGATATCTGTTATGTTAATGTACAAAATAAACCTGTTTTAAGGTCCACAAACCAGGATTGACGCGTCTCCCTTTATAATTGTTCTGACACGCGGCTGTGCTGATGAAGTAAAGCTGAAGTAAATTGCTGTACTTCATTACACACATGCTCTGTTTTAAAACATTTTAAACATGTGAAACTCACTCGTGATCACATTTGATGATGATTGCTGATCCTAGCGAACAGAACAGAGCTTTTATTCCCGGTTGCTTTGCGCACGTCTGGTCTTGTTGACATTATTATACACGTTACTACCGGGACATGCTACGCGAAGCTGTCAATCAATATTGGTGGGCGGGGGGACCACGCTCCTACGTCAAGTTGTGGTCGGTCTAAAACACGCTCCAATTGGTCCACCGTTTTTATGTTGTTAAATTGAAAAAAAAAAAAAGGACTGGGTGTTTTTATATCACCCAAATATGACTGTCTATACACTATACCTACACACATGTCTGTCCAAACAGCTTGAAAAGTAGATTTTACACTATAGGTGCCCTTTAAAATTATATTGAAACATCTGCTTTTATTTTCCAAAACAACTAACCACGGAGGTATGGGATCAAAAAATTTCAATCTGTGAACATTTTCTCTACTTTAAATGAGGAAAATAAACATGCGTTATGGATGTGACAAAAACAGTGTGCCTGTTTACAGAATAAAGCATATTTTGTAGAAATTCTGTGAATTAAACTGCACAACCCAAAATAAATAATGTTCATACAAAAGATAAGAGTTGGTTTTTATAGAACAAAAATGATTGATTTTATTTTTCATTTTTGCGGGAAAAGCTTTGTTATGGATGTGACACTTTTTCGTTATGGATGTGACGAATGTGAAATTGCCATTTTTGTGACTTTGGTAAATCAAATATAATAGTTTGAAAACATTGACAGAGACATTTTAAGTATTTTTTTAAAGTACTGTATAACACTTGCCTATGCAAAAAAAAAAATGTAGAAATGGTTTAGCTATTTTGGTGAAAACATTTTTTCTTTTCATGGCAAGGTCGACATTTGCATGGAATTGCACATATACATATAGATACACACTCGTAAATGGATATATGAAGAGTTTAGGTGCAAAACCCTCTAAACGTCGTCTGAAATGTTTTCCTAAAGTGCACATTTTTTTTCAAGCTCCTGTATATTCAGTAAATCCACTTTAATGCCAAATAATGTTATTTGCATTGCCTTTGAAGTGAAATACCTGAACACAAACAGGATCCTGAGTAAAATGCTCATTTTAGAAAAATATTTCAAATGGCACTCTTGCGTTTGAACTCTTTATATTAGACAGATAGTTAGACAGACAGGCAGGTAGATAGACAGACAGACAGACGACATAGAGTAAACTTTACTACTCACATATAACATTTGGGTTAATATTAACCCAACAGGTAACCCAATGATGGGTTGTTTTGGCACCGACCTTCTGTTGGGTTATTTTAACCTAATCCTTTGAGTTGGTAACGTTAGCCCAACAATTTGGGTTACAAAATTAACAAATCTGTTGGGTTAATTTGCCAAAATGTGGCTTAACCAAGGAATATCTCAAATATGTGTATAATATACCCACCCCCACCACCCCCAAAAAAAAAAAACTTTAGAAATGAACACGGAGGTAGAGAAAGTGCTTTTATCCATATGTGAATCAGCTATGAAGCGTGCGTTTGTATCATTAAATTAAGGGTGCAGGTGAAACGGTAATAATAAACACAACACTAATTTAGGTAATTTGCTAAAAAAAAAATGTTATTGCGTTAGGTCTAAAATAAACTTTATAACGCAAACACAACATTACGTACGAACATTAATACAACTGATCTGTGTCAGTTAAATCAGTTGACTGTTAAAATGTAAAGGTTTTTACCCAACTGGTTGTGTTATTAAATAAATAACACAACACAACTGATCTGTGTTATGTTATGTTATATTATATTATATTTAAATATTAAATAAATAACACATCAAAGGCTAAAAATAACCAAACAAAGCACCAAACATTTAACCAAACTTGTTGAGTTACTAATAAATAACCATAAAGGTTCAAAATAACCAAACAAAGCACCAAATATTTTTAACTCAACTGGGGGTAAATAAATAACCCAACATTTTTTAGTGTCGAGTAAACATGGGTTTATGTCACTGACCTCCCCTTTAACCTAATTCTGCCAGAAGTCATAGTTTAATCTGATGTTTGAGCTTCCTACACGACAGCTAACTCTTCTTTTAACTTTAATTAATTACATTTAATTCAGTTTTGATTCATAACGACGATTCAAACTAATTGTATTTAATAAAGAAGAGTCGAGGAGGAAAAAACTACAAGAATTCACTTAAATAACACAAACTTTAATCAACTTTAAGCCTTCAACTATTTTAGATGTGGTATATAAAATAAAAACATTAGTAATAAAAATAGGAAAAATAACTGAATATTAGTGACATTGAGGAGATGAAGAAGTTCAAGTGCAGTGCAGAAAACAAGTGCAAAAGCAGATAACATGTACAAATCAAATCATTCGAGCATTTTTAACACACATAACACATTAATTTATCGTAAAATATATAACGTTTATTTACCTCTGAGGAGAGACATGATATCGACTGTGCTTGAGATCGTTTGAGCAGCTTCAAACACACAAACGCACACACACACCGACCTTTCACCTACTTACTCTTAACATTCACTTCACAACATTCGACGCACACATAAAAATGAATATTCCATAACAACCTTATATTCTAAACGAAAATATATATTATACGTCCTATTTGAAATAATTATGATATTTAACACAGATATTTAAATTCTGATTTTAGCTAATAAAGAAAAAAACAACAACGCGAAAGTGCGTCTGTGATAACGGAAGTGTTTTTACACTGACCTACAGATCCACACTGGCCACTGAAAGGAGCAAAACATTTAATTTCTCACATTTTATGTTTGTAAAGTGGATATTTCTGTAAATTATGGCGGGATTTGTGTGTCGTGCTGTAAACCGGATTATTTCGAGTCAATCCTCGTGGTACGTATGTGACTTTAGATATCCATGTGCACGCGATAATTGTAAAGTAACGCACAGAGGTCATGAGGATGATAATCATTGTTATGCTAATAATTAATAACTCTTTTTACAGTTGCAGTCCTGTTATTGCTGTCAGACACAGTCACTGGTTTACCTCAATGCTTTCGTTGAAAACTTCCGCACCATTAAGGTCAGTGAAGATACAACTTATGTTATGTATGATGATTAGTTCACTTAATGTCTTTTCGGCTTAGTCCCTTTATTATTCATCACAGCGGAATGACCCGCCAACTTATGCAGTATGTGTTTTTACGTACAGTAGCTGATGCCCTTCCAGGTGCAACTCAGTACTGGGAAACACCCATACACATTCACACCCACACATACACCACGACCAATTTAGTTTATTCAATTAATCTGTAGCGCATGTATTTGGACTGTGGGGGAAACTGGAGCACCTGGAGGAAACCCACAACAACATGGGGAGAACATGCAAACTCCATACAAAAATGCCAACTGACCCAGCCGGGGCTCAAACCAGCAACCTTCTTCCTGTGAGGCGACATAATTATTTTAAAATAAATGAACGAAAAATTGAACAAAACTAGTTGAAACATTAGACTCGTTATCTGCATTTAATATAATTTCTGTGTAAATAAATGAATCAAAATGGACATTTTATATTTGATCCACATATATACCAGACATTTTATATTTGATCCAAGACTACCAGACTCATTAATAGCTTTTTTCCTCAAGCTATCAGACTGCTCAACTCACTCATGAAAACTGGATTATAAAATCACAATCAACAGCCCACACACACAAAAATCTGTGGAACTGTGAGAAAAGCAAACTCAATGTTTTTATATTAATATTCCTTGCACGTGTAACATGTTTACAAAATACACTTACCTCTAAGCTGCTACTTTGCACTTTGCACTTTTGCCATACTGCACCTAATTGCACTACAATAAATACCTCAACTTGGTCATATTCTGGAACAATAGGATATATGGTAACTGTTCACAGTTTATTAGTGTCTATTATTTAATTCATCTTGTACTATATTAGTTAAATGTTTAGTTTATGTCTAGTGTGTGTCATATTTTTGTTTTTTAAATTGCACATTGGAGTATGGGAGAAACGCAATTTCAGTCTGCTGTGTAATGTACTGTTGCATGGTTTGATTGACAATAAAGTTGACTTGACTATACACTCACTGGCCACTTCATTAGGTACACTTTACTAGTACAGGGTTGGACCCCATTTTGCCTTCAGAGCTGCCTTAATCCTTCGTGACAGATTCAACAAGGTACTGAAAATATTCCTCAGAGATTTTGCTCCATATTGACATGATAGCATCACACAGTTGCTGCAGATTTGTCGGCTGTGCATCCATGATGCCAATCTCCACCACATCCCAAAGCTGCTCAATTGGATTGAGCTCTGGTGACTGTGGAGGCCATTTGAGTACAGTGAACTCATCGTCATGTTCAAGAAACCAGTCTGAGATGATTCACGATTTCTCCAATCTTCTATTGTCCAGTTTTGGTGAGCCTGTATGAATTGTAGCCTCAGTTTCCTGTTCTTAGCTGACAGGAGCGGCACCCGGTGTGGTCCTCTGCTGCTGTAGCCCATCTGCCTCAAGGTTGGACGTGTTGTGTGTTCAGAGATGCTCTTCTGCAGATCTCGGTTGTAACGAGTGCTTATTTGAGTTACTGTTGCCTTTCTATCAGCTGGAACCAGTCTGGCCATTCTCCTCTGACCTCCGTCATCAACAAGGCATTTGTGCCCACAAAACTGTGCTTACTGGATATTTTCTCTTTGTCGGAGCATTCTCATTCAACCCTATAGATGGTGGTGCATGAAAATCCCAGTAGATCAGCAGTTTCTGAATGACAACCATGTCATGTTCAAAGTCACTTAAATCCCCTTTCTTCTCCATTCTGATGCTCGCTTAGAACTGTAGCAGATCGTCTTGACCATGTATACATGCTTAAATGCTGCCCTGTGATTGGCTGATTAGTAATTTGTGTTAACAAGCAGTTGGAGAGGTGTACCTAATAAAGTGGCCGGTGAGTGTGTGTGTATGTGTATGTGTGTGTATTTATGTATATATATATCCATGCATATGCTCAGGCTTGTGTTTTACAGTGCTGTAAAAATACTCAAAAATGTCTCTGTCAAGGTTTTCAAACTAATATATTTGATTTACCAAAGTCACACAATTGGCAATTTCACATCCGTCACATCCATAACCAAACTCTTTCCTCACAAATGTAAAATCATATAAAATCAATGATTTTTGTTCTATAGAGAGCAACTCTTATCCTTTTCATTATCATTATTTCTTTTGCAAACGTCACATCCATAACTCTGAAATTGCTCGTTTCATTTTTTTGTTTTAAACACCACAGAGCCGAACCCAGGAAGAAGAAGAAGAAGGTGGACCCGCGGCAAGAAATTTTAGTGAAGGACCGACTGAAGAAGAGACTGAAAAGGATGGAGAAAGTCTCTCCAGAACTGATTCCCATTGAAGACTTCATAACTTCAGCCAAAAGCTTCGACGACACCAGGTGAAATAATACAATATTTTATAGATTTTTTTAAATTGGTTTTTTAAATTAATTTATCAGGATCCTCATTAGCCGCTACCAAGGAAGGGGCTATTCTTCCTGGGGTTCATCGAACATAACACAAAATTACATTAATTCATAACAACAAGACCAATAAAACATTAAAATATAAAATTCATACAAATCATCCAGATCAACAATCCTCTTAATATTGTTCCATTAAATATTTCTAAACCGATTTTTAAAAACATCTTTTTACTTGTTACAAAGCATGTAATGTCTGATGGCAATCATTCCATGTTTTCATTCCTCTATACGTTACAGTCTGTTGCTTTACATTAGTTTTTGAAATGGGAAGCAGAAAAATTCCTTTTAATGCATGCCTGGTGTTAAAATGATGACTAGCATTACTATACAAAAGTTGACAGTACAATACACTTGGAACTCTTGTCACAGAAATATTTCTTATGATTTCATAGAGAAACCATTACCCTATCCTTCACCAATAACCAACCTAAAGTTTTATGCATTTTCATAATATTAACTCTTCTGTTGCTGTGTAAAATTAGTCACAGATAATCACACGGAACTACAGTCTGGATAACAGATTCAGGAATTTTTCACAGTATTTAATATAATATTGTTTCTTCTGGAAAATGTCTTATTTGTTTTATTTCGGCTAGAACAAAAACTGTTCCTATTTTTTTAATCCATTTTAAGGTCAATATTATTAGCCCCCTTTACCTTTTAAGGTGTTTTTTTACATGCTTTTCTGATTTCTCTTTGCTGTTTGGGCTTATCGCAACATAATTAGAATAAAATATAATTATAATCTTTTGATATGATGTACTTTTAGAGAAAAATGATGTTCATATATGTGGACTCGTCGTCTGAATTTACATAAACACTTTTCCTGTTTGTTTTTAATGCATATTTAACATATTCATTTTTTAACATGTTTTGACTATCAGTGAGTAAAAACAAAAAATGTCCCAATTTTGGACATTTAAAATAGTGTTTGGGATATTTCATATGCTGCAACACAGTTGCAGGATGACACTGTATGTCTGAAACGAAATATAAAGCATTCAACATATTTTAAATAGCCACTTAAGAGCTAAAATGTGCTGTCCACGTATAAAGACACTCAAGCCCTAGGAGGTTAAGCAATATTTCTTTCTATAGTCTACAGCACAAACCACTGTTATACAATAACTTGCCTAATTACCCTAATTAACCTAGTTAAGCCTTTAAATGTCACTTTAAGCTGTATAGAAGTGTCTTGAAGAATATCTTGTCAATTATTATTTACTGTCATCATGACAAAGATAAAATAAATCAGTTATTAGAGATGAGTTATTAAAACTATTATGTTTTGAAATGTGTTGAAAACATCAGCTCTTCGTTAAACAGAAATTGGGGGAAAAAATAAACAGGGGGGCTAATAATTCTGACTTCAAATGTATATCATGTAAAGTTAAAGCTTATTCAAACTCGAACCATGCTAATTTATGTTAGCAACTGCCTAGCAACCATTTAGAACACCTTAGCAACCACCTAGCAATCACTCAGAACACCTTAGCAACCACTTAAAACACCTTAGCAATCATTTAGCAATGCCTGAGCAACCGCCTGGCAACACTTTTGCACCGACCTAGAACACCATAGTAACTCCCTAGCAACAGCTCAGAATACTTTAGCAACCGCCTAGCAATAATACCCACCAAGAAACGTGCCAGTCCATACTAGAAACATGCTACCATAAATGTAGTTCTCTCTGTCTGATCTATCTATCTATCTATCTATCTATCTATCTATCTATCTATCTATCTATCTATCTATCTATCTATCTATCTATCTATCTATCTATCTATCTATCTGTCTGTCCGTCTCTATCTGTCCGTCCATATCCATCCATCCATCCATCTATCCATCCATCCATCCATCTGTCCGTCCATATCTATATCCATCCGTCCATCCATCCATCCATCCGTCCATCCATCCATCCATCCATCCATCCATCCATCCATCCATCCATCCATCCATCCATCATCTATCTATCTATCTATCTATCAATCTATCTATCTATCTATCTATCTATCTATCTATCTGTATGTCTGTCTGTCTGTCCGTCCGTCTCTATCTGTCCGTCCATATCCATCCATCCATCCATCCATCTATCTGTCCGTCCATATCTATATCCATCTATCCATCCATCCATCCATCCATCCATCCATCCATCCATCCATCTATCTGTCCGTCCATATCTATATCCATCCATCCATCCATCCGTCCGTCCGTCCGTCCATCCGTCTGTCTTTGCCAACTGTTTTAAACTTCCTAAAAACTACTTGAATTAATAAACTTTAAAGCCACTGTAAACTTTTTAAAAATTTTCTCAAGCCACCATAAAGTTTGTCCACGAAACTTTACTTGTTTAGTTATACAGTGATATGATATGATATAATATGGTTTACAAAGCTTATGTATTATAGCTCTTAAAGTATTCAAATGATTGTTGTGTGTGTGTGTTGCAGAACGCGTGCTCTTCCAGAAGTGTGTTTCGAGGAGAGCGAGCGCAGAGCTCTGCTGCTGAAGGAATGGTCCAGACACAAACACAAACAGCACCAGATGGAGATGCAGGAGATCCAGGAGGCGCTGAAAGCCCAAAAGCAGGCGCTGATGCAGCTGAAACTGGAGTCTAAAGAGCTTTACATTGCTGCGCTCCGTCCTGATACAGACACGCTGCCTTTCCTGCATCACGGGCCCAGTTACACTCCACCCATCGCTGACTATGAGGCTCCAGAGGGAAAATATAATGACATTACACGTGTTTATACACAGTGAGGAGAGACGGTGACTGTATACAGGTGAAGAATAAAAATAATAAGTGTTCAATTAAGGTCTCGGAGAATAAAATGTATTGACGTCATTATATTGTTGTGAATTTATAATTATGTTGTTAAATCATCATGTTGTGATCGAGTTTAAAGGTTAAAATAAAAAAATAAAAGAACATACTGGGGTCTGTTCTTCGTCCGTGGATTACTCAATTAGCTAGATTGGGTTAACGTAATGTGTATTAATGTAACCCCGCCGGTCCTACACCACCCAACCTAAAGACCATGGCCTCTAGCATCTGTCGCTAGAGCACCTTTTTAGAGGTCAGAGAGGTGAGGTTTTACCTGCACAGCACTTACTAACCGGCCTCTGTTACTCTGTTACAATTCGCCGGAAGCGATTAACCCAGATTACTGGCAAATTTAAAGTCTTATTAGCATGCTTCGGCATATATACCCTATTTAAACCCCGGCAGAGAGTTTGTCGAGGCCACTGGTTATTCACTTGGCCAGAGCTGCGCTCCAATTTGGGCATTATGCTTTGTTTCGCATCCATATACTATCACTGACAACATTTACCGCATCCATTCACTTGCATTTCACGCTGATTGAACATACTGACTCTGATATTGTGGTTGTGTTACACTTTTAATCAACAACGAATCTGAAGTTGCGACATATTTTGATAAAAAGCAGAACAAAATACTTCAAATATTCATCCTGAAATGTTGTTGTTATTATATTTAGATTGGTCTTTTGAAGCATTGTTTTTGCATTGAGCATGAAAATATCTTTTGATTAGACAAATATAGGTCAGCGCTGCATTTTAGATCATCAATAGTTGCACAATATGTAAATTTGGTGCAATTTTTGTATGTTTTATGTATGTATTTTGATCAAAAGTAGAACAATCTTTCTTGTTGTGCTCTACATTGACTTTCTCATCAAATGTTTATTCTGAAATGTTGATTTGAGTACATTTGGATGACTCTTTTGAAGCTGTTCTTGCATTGAGCACCAGAAATATCAGCGCAGAAACGCATCGGTCCAGGTGAGGTAGAGTGAGGAGATTTACACTGAATGTTCATACAGCTCCAGTGCTTTCTTCATGTGTTTCTGGCATCATAAGCGATTCTGTGTATGTGTGTGTGTTTAAGGGTCCTGTGGTTTGCCCTGGTTAAGCGGCAGATGCCAGTCAGATGGAGGTTTTTGCCGAAGCTCCCAGACCGGAGTGAACTTCCTCTGATCCGCCAGCCGCTTCCTCTCGCTCTCCTGCAGAGATTCCTGATGGGGGGAAAAAAGCAACTGTAAATCACATGCTAGCAGTGGCGTAATCTAACACATCACAACTAGAAAAGTAAAGCTCGTACACAAGCGTTATGGTGGCATGACAAAGCCTCGTCTGAAAGTCTAAAGAAGTTTTAAAACGTGTGAAACAGTTAGAACTACATATATGTTAGCAAGTTTCTAGTTTGGGTCATCATGTTTCTTGCTAGGGGGTTCTGAGTGTTTGCTAAGGTGTTGATAAGGTGTTCTGAATGGTTGTTAGGGTGTTCTGAGTGATTGCTGAGGTGTTGCTAGGCAGTTGCTAGGTGCTTGCTATGGTGTTCTGATTGGTTGCTAAGGTCTTGCTAGGTGGTTGCTAAGATGATCTAGGTCATTGCTAAGGTGTTGCTATGATGTTCTGATTGGTTGCTAGGTGGTTGCTAAGGCATTAGTAGGTGGTTGTTAAAGTGTTACTAGGTGGTGTTTAATGTGGTTGCTAAGATGTTGCTAGGAGGTTGCCAAGGAGTTGCTAGGTGGTTGCTAGGGTGTACTGATTGGTTGCTAAGGCGTTGCTAGGTGGTTGCTAAGGTGTTGCTAGGCAGTTGCTAAGGTGTTCTAGGTCATTGCTAAGGTGTTGCTAGGGTGTTCTGATTGATTGCTAGGTGGTTGCTAAGGCATTGCTAGGTGGTTGTTAAGGTGTTATTCGGTGGTTACTAAAGTGTTGCTAGGCGGTTGCTAAAGTGTTGCTAGGTCGTTGCAAAGGTGTTGCTAGGCAGTTGCTAAGGTGTTCTGATTGGTTGCTAGATCATTGCTAATGTGTTCTGATTGGTTGCTAAGCAGTTGCTAAGGGGTCACTAGGTGTTTGCTAAATTGTTCTGAGTGGTTGCTGAGGCGTTGCTAGGTGGTTGCTAAAGTGTTGCTAGGGTGTTCTGAGTTTATGTTAAGGTGCTGCTAGGTGGTTACTAAGGAGTTGCTAAGCGGTTGCTAAGGTGTTCTTGGTCAATGCTAAGGTGTTCTGGGGGCTTGTTAGGAGGTTGCTAAGGCGTTGCTAAGATGTTGCTAGGCAGTTACTAAGGTGTTCTAAATAGTTGCTAGGCAGTTGCTAACATAAATTAGCATGGTTCTAGTATGAATTAGCATGTTTCTAGCATAAATTACCATGTTTATAGCATGGTTCTAGTATGAATTAGAATGTTGCTAGTATGTTTCTAGTATGATCTAGCATGTTTTTAGCATAAATTTAGTATGAATTAGCATGTCACTAGTATAATTAATATGTTTCTAGTATAATTAATATGTAGTGCTGTCGCCTCACAGCAAGAAGGTCGCTGGTTTGAACCTCGGCTCAGTTGGTGTTTCTGTGTGGAGTTTGCATGTTCTCCCTGCGTTCGCGTGGGTCTCCTCCGGGTGCTCCGGTTTCCCCCACAGTCCAAAGACATGCGGTACAGGTGAATTGGGTAGGCTAAATTGTCCGTAGTGTATGAGTGTGTGTGTGAATGTGTGTGGATGTTTCCCAGAGATGGGTTGCAGCTGGAAGGGCATCCGCTGCGTAAAAACTTGCTAGATAAGTTGGCGGTTCATTCCGCTGTGGCGACCCCGGATTAATAAAGGGACTAAGCCGAAAAGAAAATGAATGAATGAATGAATGAGTGATTCTTTTATGATTAGTGTGTTAGTATGGTGAGGCATATCGCTAGTATGTATTGGTATGTTGTTAGTATGTCCCATGTAAAGTCAAGGGCAGTTTTTTATAATGAAAGTCTATGGGACAGTTGCTCGGGTGCCGTATGTTGAAAGGTCATTAGTGATTGGCAGATTGGTAGTTAAATTGGCAGATTGGTAGGTAAACTAAATCGGTAGTTAAATGAGCGTAACCTTAACTTTGTATGATCGTCTAGTGCAAAGTTATGAGGTCATAAATTTTGGTCCAATGTTAAATCAATGGGACTTTTCAGAATTTTCCGGGTCAGTTTTCGGAAAACCGTTAGTCAGATCAGTTAGAAAAGACACAGCAACTTAATTCAGTATAGTTTGGAGATAGTTTGGTGATTGCAGTATAAACAGTCTAAGAGGAGATGCGTTCTTAAAATAGTCTAGGAAGACCCAAGAATTTTCAAGCCACCATAAATACTCATTCATTCATTTTCCTTTGGCTTAGTCCCTATATTTATCAGAGGTCACCACAGCAAAATGAACCACCAACTATGTTCTATGCAGCGGATGCCCATCCAGTACTGGGAAACACCCTTACACTCTCACATTCACTCACACACACACTCATACACTACGGCCAATTTAGCCTACCCAATTCCCCTATAGCGCATGTGTTTGGACTGTGGGGGAAACCGGAGCACCCGGAGGAAACCCACACCAACACTGGAAGAACATGCAAACTCCTCACAGAAACGCCAACTGACCCAGCCGGGACTCAAACCAGCGACCTTCTTGCTGTGAGCTGACAGTGCGAACCACAAAGATTCAAAACCTTCTCGAAACAGATTATTGAGGCTCACCTTGGCTTGCGTGCTGTGGTTTTTCTCCCAGTCTTTACAGTTCTGATAGTCTTGTTTCCACTGCTGGCAGTCTGGAGCTCTGCCGTAGGTGTAATACTCATGAAACCTGTTTCTTAAACTCTTGCAGTGCTTCAATTCACTACAGTAGATGTCACACGAGCGTGGTGGCTGTGGTCAAAAATAAGTGTATTAAAG